AACAAGGATAAACACAAGCAAGTGCAGTCACAAACACCAAGCAAGCGGGATTGGAAATGGCAGCAAAAGGCTTTCCTGCAGATCGTAACATCAGAGCTTGGAAGAGTGCTACCTTTGGGTGTTGTTGATAATCTAATTACTTTTAATTTCAGGTCCTTTGCCTTCCCCAGCCTGATGCCCGCCAAATGTGTCAGACCACAGCTCTCAGCATCCCCACCCTACTTGGGCTGGACTAGACGAGAAGAGGCTTTGTTCTTTCATTCTTCCAAACCACACTAGCAACCACCTACTGTGCATTCAGTTTATAAATGCAAAAAGATTCTTTTTGTAAATGTACAGATTTTAAAATGTGAAATGTTTCAGCATCAGATGCCAATCACTGAAGACTGAACCTGGCATTTGATGCTGAAACATTTCACATTTTAAAATCTGTTTATTAGAAAAAGAAGAAAAATAGCTTTTAAAATGTATACATTGGATGCTTGCTTGCTGCTTGCTTATTGTGGTTTGGTGTGATGTGTCATCTGGAAAGCACAAGGTTGGAGAGGATGCTGTAGACAAGAAGTGGTTTGTTCTGCCTTTTCTTTAGGTTGCCTATGTATCATTTTTTGCCCTTTTGAGAATGCTCACACAAGATGGGAAATTAAGGCTTTAAGGCCAAAAGAGGAGAACTGGAGCAGTAAAACAAAGGCACTGCGACTCAATTCTTAAAGCACTGTTCCTTCAAGTGAAGCCCCCCAAATTGTGCATATTTAGTGCTGGTTGAATCATTCATGTAACCCGCACATGCTTGGAAGCAACTGCTGGGGGCTGCTAGGCCAGGTGCTGGGAGACTGAAGGCAGGAGCTGTTGGACCCTTCACTCCCTTTCCTCTAGGCAAGCTTGGAGGGTGGAGACGCCTCTTAGCTTGGTTCAGCCTCTGAAGGCATTAAATGCCCCTGTAACCAGAACACTCTCTTCTGGTCACAGAAACATCTCCATCAGGCTTTATCTGAGGCACAGAAACTTCCTTCCCATCAGCTCAGGCATGCAGTATCCCACCTCCCATTACAGGCACGAAACCAAAATGACAGATTCTTTCCATTACATGATTTGGCAGATGAAAACACCGGAGAAAAGAAAATATTTCCAGCTGCAAGTGAAGCAGGAAAGCCTTGCCTTGCACAAACAAAGGGCTGCAATAACAACAGGGAAAAGTTTCCCTGAAATTGCTGTCAACACCCACGCACCTTCCATGAAACCCCCCTATGCAGGGAAAGGGCTCTGGCAGGCTCTGGCTTGGTTGTCAGACTGAACTGCATGATGGACAGGTGGCAGCACCTCAAGGCTTTGAGGGTGAGATGGAGAAAGGAAGGCGACAAGTGTCAAATTCATTACTAGCCCTTGCAAGCAGCTTTTTTAATTATGCAGACATACATTATGGAATTCACAACAGTGGGGTGCAGCGGCGGTCACTAATTTGGGTGGTTTTACAAAGGAATGAGACAAATGGAGAAGGCTGGCCAGGGCAGCTGGTCCTGATACACCACCCCAGTGTGCCAGTGCCTACTCAGTCAGCGTGTGAACAGAATACTGGATTCTGGTGCAGTGGTTAAGAGCATGGGCCTGGGACTCAGGCGATCTGGGTTCGAGTCCTTGCTCGGCCATGGAGCCAACTGGGTGACTTTGGGCCAGTCACAAACTCTCAGCCCAAGCTACCTCGCAGGGTTGTTGTTGTGGGGTAAAATGGAGGAAGAGAATGATGTAAGCTGCCTTGAGCCCTTTGTAGGAAAAAGGCAGGATATAAATCAAAAAATAAATAATAAATAAATAAAAATAAATGATGTTTTATTATTAGAAATATACTACTTAATTGAATAAACTCTTTAAGTGATTGACATATAAATATTAAAATCATATTTAAATGCAGTATTAAAAACAATGTCAACCCCAAGAATACAAGCCATGATAGAATATGGTGGATGATATGGATAGAACATCAAGTGTGTTTAAGTAGCTTTGCCCAGGCTGGACCCTGTTATTATGGGGCAATGAAACTTATAATCCAGCTTAACTGGGGAAGGCTTCCCGACTGGGGAAGACTACTTAAAGCCTTCCTTTATCAGCAACAGTCACCTTCTGCTGAGTGACAACTGTTGAGTAGTCCTTCGCTATTGGGACAGCCGCCCCCCCCCCCGCTTCTGCAATGCCCTCCCCATGTGGCTGATGCATCCACTGCTACATTTTGGTGCCTAGAGAAGAATTTGTTATCCAAGAGTTTTTACATCTTTCAAATCTTTAGGAGCATGAAGATGGAAGGGGTGGTGTAGGTCATTAGACCAACTCCATGCTTACTGCTGGGAATCCAGAGATTAAGCATATGCCCAGCATCTGGGTGTGCAGTCCCTGTCTGAAGACTGCAAACGAGGGAAAAATCTTCTTGTCCTCTACATATTAGCTCCCTTGCCAACCTGCTTTTACAGTCAAGAAGGACCTCCCAATATTCAGCTAAAAGCTGCCCATCTGAAATCTAATCCTATTAGATCAAGCCTTGCCCTCTGGGCCAGCAACAGAGAACACAGCCTTTGTCTTCTCTTACATGGAAGCCCTTTGGGCATGTGAAGAGTGCATGCTTCTATAAGCTTTCTGCCTCTCTATATTTATTGATTGTGACATGACCTTTTATTACTAACTGTATGATGTTTCTTTTGCCTTGAGAATCTTTGTGCTCAAAGGTTATGGAATACAAATTAATAACATTTTAAAACTAAAACAAAACTGGTCCTCTTAATTGTGCCAAGAATTGTTACATGAGACAGACACTGCCCCCACCCCCCCGCCCGGCAAGCCATTGAGATGCCTTATTTATCTGTCCTATACTTCGCATTGCAGCCAAGATTCACTCTCAATATGACTTGCACTTAAAAACAACCAGGAGTACAATGCCCAGAATCCAAGTGGGCATTTATGCCCCCATCAGATCCCTCTCACCTGCTGATCCTATTGCACAAGTGGTGTCCACCATTGGCTCAATGGTAATTTAGTATGGATACAGACCAACCTGAAATGAATGTAAACTCTTGTTTCTGGAAGAACTCGAGTTGGTGGGCTCTCCCACACTAGAGACATTCAGAAAGAAACTGGACACCCATCTGAGTGGGATGCTGTAAATTGGTGTCCTGCAGCAGCAGGGGGTGGACCCAATGGCCTTCATGGCCCCTTCCAACTCTAATATTCTATGATTCTAGTATTAAGGGAAAGGGGGAAAATGATTCTCTATACACTTTATCCACACCATGTATTATGGTATACACCATACAACTGTAACCTGTCCCCCCTTGCCTTTTTTCCTAAAGAATCCTAGCTGTAACTTTTCCTCATGGGTAGCTGCTCCAGCCCCTTGATCATTTCAGTTGCCTTGTCCTGTACTTTCTCCAACTCTACAATATCCTTCTTTCGGTACAGTGACCAGAGCTGTGCACAATATTCTACAGGTATTTGCACCAAAGATTTTTATAAGGATAGTATGGAAATATTATTTTCATATTATTTATGTTCAATGCCTTTCCTACTTATGCCTAAAATGGAGTTTGTCTTTTTCCAGCAGCTGCACACTGGGGTTGACATTTTCAATAAGTTTTTTTAAATCACAATCCCAGTAATCCATTTCTTGGTTAGTCACCTGGTCAGCTACAGCATCTACTAAATTTTAATAAAAACTGCATGGTAAGTACTCTTACACGTGTCTCCCTACGCAGCAATTTTGGGTACAATCCTTTATTATGTTTAGAGACTTAACAGTTCTACTGCTCTCAGCATCACTCCAGCCTGCCATTCATAGTATAGCACCCTGAGTGACCTATATTGTAAAGCAGAATGGAATTAAAATTTGGGTTTTGCCTCTGGCCATAAATTTATGATCTTTCTGGAAACTATTTCCAGTATGGCTCACTCACACAAACTGATGGAAGATCAAGATGCTTTTTCTATTAGATTGAAGAGTAGTGTTTTGACTGGGCTGTTGGATAAAAGTATAAAAACTCAATTGCATAGCAGATCTCCTGCATGTGTGACTAGAACCTAGAACCCCACCCCTTGAGATCTGAGGTGGAAGTCCTTCTGTGGGAGCCCTCCTTGAAAGAGATTGGGAGGGTGGTTACCTGGAGGAGGGCCTTCTCTGTGGTGGCACCCCGGTTATGGAATGTGATCCCCAGGGAGGTTCACCTGGTGCCAACGCTTTTTTCTTTTCGGCACCAGGCGAAAACCTTTTTATTTTCCCGTTATTTTAATGTTCATTCAGTTTTAATGTGGATTTTATATTATTGAATTACTGGATGCTGTGCCATTTTTAGCTGTTGCTTGCTGTAAACCTTTCTGAGATACCAGTAGAGGGACGGTCTATAAAAGCTTTAAATAAATAAAACAAATAAGTATTGGCTGTATCCAATGTTAGTCTTAGATTAAACCCATTGAAATGAGTGGGATTTAAGTTAGACAAACAATGAATACAACTATGTCTATAAGCTACAACTACAAATTGCCATTTCCTAATATTATTCCACTGTCTCTTAAATTACTTTTAAATTCTTTATGGATCTTCATTCTCCAACTTGTAGACATGTCAGGCATTCAAGACAATGTACATGAGTCTGGAAATCTGCAACAGTCAAGGATATAGGAAGCCAAGGACAGCAAATGATTCCATATTTTGTATGTGCCATTCTGAATTTTTTAAAGTTGCTCACACATAACAAAGTTCAATTCACAAAAAACATGGTAAGTTATCAGAATGACACTTTGTTATCAACAGGACTGTCAGGGCTAGGTTAAATTGGCTGTCTTGACACTTCAGTTCTCTGTAGGAGCAATTAAATGATTTCAGCAAATGGAAAGATGGCCTTTCTGTTTTTCAAACTGAGTAAAATTGTCATTATTCAGCTATGTGCTTTCAGGAAGGAACCCATCAGGATCATGTCAAAATACTTCTTGTAGCCCAACTGACAAAAAACAAACAAAAGCAATTCACTTCAAAAGATTTTTTTTTTAATTTAGAAATGCAGTTATATACATAGAACAATTGAAATTAAATTAAACTTTGTACAAATATTAAAATACTATCTCACACCCACTGCAATGTACAGGATACCAGAAAAATATATATATATAAAATAAAGCAAAATAAAACTGATTGACATCCTGCACAGCATGTTTTTTTTTTAAATCCACATATATGAGTACCATTCTGCAAACAAATTCCATAGTGGTGCAACTCAGATTACAAACAAACAAACAGCACTGAAGGCAACCAGGTTCTCCCCATATCCAACCACCTGCAGCTTGCCCACTGAATAACAGAGTGTGGATTTGTGTGAAAACCTTTGTTCTGACAGGACATGGTCTGAACCGTGTGAGCTTCTATGCAAAAGTGAACATAACAGTGACACTTGCAGCAGAAATGGACAGCCACTCTCATTGGTTCACCTACTAGAAAGAAGCATGTATCTGTATCTCAAGATATAATTAACACAGAAGTGTGTCTTCGTTCAACTTACATCTCCTCTGGTGCAAGCATTGGAATCTTAATAAAGTGACAGAGATGGTCAAGTTCAAAAGCAATCAACGAAATTTCCAGGAAGCTAATCAAACATGGAGGACTGAGCGAGAGGGGGGCAGAGATGATCCATAAAGTACTATATGTGAATCAAGCCAAAGGAAGGTTACTACCAAAAAAGCCCCATGGAAACGAAAGGTCAATTCACACTTTAACATGGCAGTTGTGTGCCTGCTGTGCACTAAGCAACACCGGCTACAGATGCAGTAAACATAAAATGTGGCAAAAATGCTTGCCTCCCTAACTCAAGAACATCAAATACTGGACCTCCTGTTGATCACAGATCACCAGCTTATTCCACTATGCTTACAGGGACACTACTGTGGGCACTGCAGAGACATGCCTGGCATATAAAGTGAATTGGACTTGCCTTGTGGTCAGTTTTCAGTTCTTCTGAAGAATCTGCAAGCACTTTATGGGTATGCCATATTCAGAAACCAATGAACCTAGTAAAATAGCTGCTTCCAGAGGAGTGCCAACTCCAGCTGACTGTAACAAATGCCTTTTAGTGTGGACACTCCTCTTTATAGCATAATGTGTATCAACTGAATATATGCTATTATCCTAGTCCAGGTAACAGGAGCATCTTTGGCTTTGGAAACCACTGCAGCATGCACAACAGTGAATTTGCACACTGTTTGTTACATGCACACTCATGCATGTAACAAACAGTGAATTTGTTACATGCATGAGTAACACAAACCCTCTCTCTGGCCATGGAAATAGCAAAGATTATTCTTCATGGAACATACGAGCAGTTTTTAGAGGATCCAACTCTAGCAGCTCATATATTAAGTGCTGAAGGGTTGCTTCTTACAAGTTCTTTACAAGAGAGAGTGACCCTACAAATCAATCACATTTACCACCAAGTAGCATGGAGTGATTAATATAGGCTACTTATTTTAAAAAAGTAAAAAGGAGCTAGGCCAGGGTGCACAGGAGTCATATAAAAGCACTCTGCTGTGAAAATGTGTACGTGCATCAGCCAGTTCTCCTTTTTGACCACTATTCTGCCTGTTTTCCCAATCTTTGGAAGATTAATCAAAGTCCTCTGTATTTATGCACTAAGAAATGTGCAATTTGAAAAATGAAAAAACAAAGCCTGTCTTTGAACAGGTCTTGAGAGACTAAATATGGCAACCCTGTTTGTCCTGACTTGCACAGGGCTCTCGCATTCTGGATTTTCTTGCAAATGCCAAGACATCTCAGGTCATCAGTGCTTCTCTTTTGCCCGCTCCAGCAGTGTCCCAGTGACAGTAGCAGCTGTTTAAAAAAGCACTCATACTATGGGCCATAAACAAAGGAAAAACAGATCACTCTGTGCCAAGTGTGCATCTAACCACTTGGTAAGTGTTTTCTATTCATCCATAAAAAAGCAGCACTGCATTTCAGTTTATTTTGCTTTTAGCACTAGATGTGTAAAAGAAAAAAGGAAGAACGATTCCTCAACTGTGTTTGCAGGAAGCCCCATGTTCAGTCCCTGAATGTGTCCCACTCCTAAATATCCGAGCTAGGAAAGGTCTCTGCCAGGCAGAGGAGGGATTATGAAGCCAGATGGACCAACAGACTTAATTCAATAAAAGGCAGCTTCATATGACCAACCAATATTCTGAACAAAATGGAGGATGGTATGGGAACCAATCATTTGTGAGTTAAGTTTCAACATTTAAAGGGCAAGGTCAACCTGGACAATCACATTCCAGAGAAGGCCCCCCGTTTCAAAATCTGGCAAACACCACTGAAGTTAGAACTTGATTACTGCCATGCACAAAGTGTGCCCTTGCAGAGTCTGGCTCTCTGTGTGCAAGGCTGGAAGAAGTTAATGGAATTTTTAACAGGTACACAGTGCTGGCCCAGTGGGCCTTTCTAATTGAACAACTCCTCTTGGGTGTTTCAGAACTTTAAGAAGTGTCAGGATTTGTTCTTTTTAATATAATCTATCCATTTACAGTCTAAGCTTTAGGAGAGATGCCCCAAACATTATGCCCAATGGCTGTTCCTATCCCTGTCTTTCATGAATTTGCCTGTAAGACTAAGGAGAAGAGTTCTACATTCTTAGCCAAAGGAGGACAACGTTCTGCATTTATGTGCCTTGAAAATCCAGTTTTATTAATTGGATTTACAGCTGACCCCAAATACACAAGATTTCAACTATGAAATTATTTAGCCCATTGTCCTTTGAACTATTCTGGTGAAATATTAACTGCAGTATTAGGATTCAAGGTGAAACTAAGATTCTTCACATATCCACTGGATGCTAAAGGTATCCAGGGATTTAATAACGAATGTAGAATTTTACCACTGGATCACACTTCTGCTGACTGGACCTTAGCAATGCTATAGAGGCAGCTGTTTCTTCAAGGATGCTATAGAGAACACAGAAGTTTCTGAACAATCTTCAGGGGAAGAAGGAATAGGATTCAAGAGATGTGTTACTGGTCCCAGTATTTTTTTATACATTAATACTAAAAAAGAGACCAGCAGCTTCCTTTGGCCTGGCGCCACACAAACTTTTGCCATACTTCTATCCAAAGCCTTTAGCAGTTACTGCTATCATTCTGTCGCTAGCTCACAGTCAGGGCCAGCACCAACTCCTTCTGAACCGGTTATAATCCCTAGGTACTGGAGTTACACAGCAGAGGTTATGTGCAGCAGGCAGTGAGGGATGCATTGTTCATTCACAAGGAGATGGGGTGCAGAGACTCAGGATTCTGACAGTGCAGTCTGAATTAGCCAGGGGCCTGCTGCACTACTGGGGCTGTCAAACAGTGAATCAGGCTTCCCTACAGTCAGAGCTATGGACAAGAACCATCCATCTCAGGCACGAACACAATCCGTATTTCTGCCCTGGTCAAATCATTAAAAGCAAACAAACTGGCATCTACTGGCTTACTCAGAGTAATCTGTGTTTTGCTAATCATGGAGATGTCTAAGAAGTTATGCAGAGTGCTGAACCCCTCAGTATAAAATTCTACAGTGTATCTATCCTTGGGCTTCCAGGTTTTTAGCAGTTGTATGACATACACATTTGCAAGGCTATCTCCGCAAAGGAGCCAGAATCCTGCTAGACTGTCACCTTTTGTGTTTAAAATGCAAGGTGTGATTCTCCAGATGCTCAATTCTATACTCATTACAAAATACATGTGCTTTTATGCTTGTGTGTGTAATGCACACAGTCCTGAGCCTAGGCAGAATGTAATCCCCCTCTGCAGCATGGGGACATGGGCAGTTGTCCAGGGAGGAATAAATTGTTCCCTATTCAGAAGTAGTACATAAATTTGGGAAAAGGCAAAGCGTTGATGATCCCACATTACTGCAGTTGCCCCAGAAATGTTCTGCATATAAACACACTGTTGTCCTCTATTTCAATTGTTTTAAGATTATTTTTCTGCTTCCTTAGATTTTAAAGACACTGTGGTTTGTTTGCATGTCATGGCAGCAAACTGTGGATTAATTAACACACAATTTGCCACAACATGTCTCTGAAGTGTGGCTGATATTTTGAATATGTAGCATCTGATGAGAGGTTATTTCATAAGATGTGAACTTGGATGCTATTGGTTAATAGTTGACTTGAATAAAAGATTCACAGTTAACCTAAAAAGTAATCATGTCCACATACATGTCATAGAATAACCTTTGAGTGGAGGTTGTATATCCAGAAGGGTAGTCAGACACACTCCTGGCAAGCTGTGGGTTAATTAATGCACAATTTGCTGCTATATGCAAACTGCGTCTGTAATTGTATGTGGATGTGCTTCCAACTTCTTCCTTTAATCTTCCTTTTGCTAGACGCTGGGCAAGAATAAGAACTGGCAACTAAGCCATCCTGTTTTTCTTACAGAAATCTTTGGGCAAGCTGACAGAACTTTTTGCTTTTGGGAGGCTCACTAGGGGAAAGTCTCCCTCTACAATACCATCAAGAATCAACATTGCTTGAACAAAAGTATACTCCTATGAGAAAAGGTGGAGGTACGCAAACATGTCCCCTGCATAGTAGGAGGTTTCCGAGTGGAAGCAGCTTGCAACGCCAAAACAAAACAAAACAAAACCAAAAAACCACACACACACAACAAAACAGCAAACAAAAAACAGTGAGGGATTGAGGGCACCTTCCATCAGGACAAAACAGCAGCATGGCTCTTTCCATTCAAAAATTTTAAGGCAGGCTATCACTGTAATTCATTCAAGGCAAATCGGGCACACCAATTATGAAAAACTAAATCCCTGGTAACTGTGATCATTTTTTTCAAATGATTAGTTTTGACCAGAACAAGGAAGACATAAGAAATGCCAACTAAATACCTGGCATTGCCTCCACAAGGACAACAAAAGCAACAACATAAAAGAACACTGTGAAAATCGCTCTCTCATTCTGGTGGGCTAAGGCAGAGATGCCTATGTTAGGATCCCTGCCCAAGCACAGTGTGCCCCTGACACGCTGCAGCCGTTCCAGAGAGAATGATCTCTTAACACGGAAGGCTTTGAAGCAATTATGGCACAGCCCTAGTATGGCTGATAGGGGGCTCCTCACGAGGAAGGGAACTCCCTCTTCACATGGACTTGCCCATGCAGGTCCTCCGAAACCCAGCCACATACCAGTGAATTGCTCAAAGCTCTTTATATTGAGACAGCCTTAAATGAAACCACACAAAGTTCGTGAACAAAGAACAGATTCAAGGGGTGTGTATTTTTGAAGTGGAAGTGTACAGAAGTACAGACATTCCATCTCGACAAAGGTACTCTTTCCCCCCTCTTTGGGAAATAAAGACAAGAAAGCAAGTAGCAGTCTAAGCTTGCCATCAAGGGTGTGTGTGTGTGTGTGAGTCGGCCAGTTGCAATTGCCTTTAACATAGCCAGCATTGCCTAATGTGTTCACATGCAGCTACATTATATCTTATATGATTTTGAAAACTTGAGAGCTACAATATGTGTCTGCCTCTGTGACTCCCACAGGACTCCTGCTCTCCTATAGCTCATCCACAGGAGTTCAGCCTTGCCTTTGTAAGATAGTGAATAAATGGAAGGAAACTACCTGTACCCAACAAAGCAAGCTGCGTTTTGGCCCTATGTTCTGAGCAGATGTCCAGACGCTGCAACAAGCCAGTGTGAGAAGGAGCAAGGCACAAGAAAATAGCAGCTCTCCAGAGACCACACTCAAAAAACATCTGGCTGAGGAAGGGGAGAGGTAGGAGGAGCTTGAGTCCATTGACATCTCTGGAGCCCCCCACCAAACTTAATGCAGATGGAATCGGGGACAGCCGGCACCCTGTTCAGCCTACTGACACATCAAGGAGGCATTCTGGCGGCATCCTTTGGATCTTCAGCTACGGGGTGTTTGCTTGGAGGTATTCAGGGCACAGCGCGTGAGGGCTGGGGATGTCTGCACAGAGAGCTCACCATCCCGAGAAGAAGAAATATGGAGAGAGAAGGCTAGACAAATGCAGCAAACCTCATGCTTCTTTCAGCAATGGAATATCTAGGTTGAGAGAGAAGGAAGAGAGAGGAAAACAAGATGTTAGGCAAATTAGGGGGCCATGTGGGTAAATCAAATAATAAATAATAAAAAAATGTTTACTGTCCAGGTTTCAAAAGACACACAGCACAGACTTGATGTAAGTCTGCACTTTATAAATGAACAAGTTCTACAGAATCTTCTTATTTACTTTAAAGCCTTCATCAGTGATGGTTTGCAACGGCAAAATCCAAAAGAATTTTTTTTGCATCACTTTGAAAAAGAAACCAAAGCTTCTGGAATTTGTGGGACAATTGTGACTTTGTCAGTTTTCACAACCCATGAATATCCACCAATGTTGCTTTGCACCATAGATAATACCATGACTTGATCCTTTAATAGGCTTCGCTTTCTAATTGTTAAGGACTTTGTATGTGCAAGTTGGAGAAAGAGGGGAAAATCTGTATACAGCATTATTCCTTGAAAATCTGTATTTGTACGTCAGCCTGAAGGCCAAGCTCCATTTCAGAAAAGCTCTTGGGCTATATTCCAGTGTATGGGTAGGGCTTGAAGGCAAAGGGGTCAAAGCCAACATTCAAAAAGATACCAGTCTAGTCCAACTTAGAATATTTCAACCTTTAAGACTGGGGGAAGGGAGGCATCATAAAAGCCAAGAAGCCTCCAATTAGTAGTGGTTGGAGGAAATGGGGTGAGTGTTAAAGAGGGAGACATGAACATCTGGGAAATCCAGGAGGGCCAGACTGGAACCTCAGAAGAACCAGTTATGGTTGCTTGGCATAAGGTTTCTCACCCCTGCTGGAGGTGTCCCACTGAAAGAGTGAGTGAAAATATTTGGCTTAGGAGCATTTTAATTCTAGCTAAATTCAGATGCAATGCTTTTTTTCCAAATCGCTTACCATCAGTATACTCCTCTGAGGAAGTGAGTGACAGAAGGCTTTGTACATCACTGCTTTCCGAGTCTGAGGCCTCTTTGGGTCCAGGTCTGCTACTAGATGTGCCCGCAACCCAGGAGGAGGTGGTGGCCTGATGCACCAAGACAGCCTCTGAGTGGCGAGAGCTGCCAGCTTCACACAGTCCAGAGCGTCCAGGGACTTCATCTTCCCTAGCAAAGCAGTTGTGCCCCTCTTGGTCTGAAAGTGGCGGCTGGCTCTCCCCACACGCTCCACTTTGCCCAGCTCCTTCCGAAAGGACGATCTGTACCCGTGAATCCGAGGGAGGTATGCAGTTTCCAGCACTGCCATAGACAGCTTCTTCATATGATGGTAATGCTACCTGAACTCCATCCACCATGATGGAAACCTGGTCTCCAGAAACACCCTGATCACGCCTGTGTTTGGATTATAAAGAAATAAATTATATTCTAGCCTAATGAAGCAAACAAAAGTGATTTGCAGAACACTGAAACAGCAGAGGTCCTAAATTCAATCAATGTCCCTTCAGATATGCAGGACTCCATAAGCCCTGTTCATTTCATAATCAGATCTCCCTTTAATCTGTTATAGCCACAATGATCTGGCTATATTTTCTATACACTGGCCGTTCCTGTCACTTCCATTCTCTTGCAGTTACAATCTAAGCAGTCTGCAGTCTAGTATACTTGCCTGCAACCTCTGGCTCCATTTGGCGGAGCTCAGTATTCTAATAAAAATAATGGAGAACAAAAACCATTTCCCCTCTGCTTAATTTCCTGTAGGAAAAAAAATCTACAAGGTACACAAGTCTCTAAAGGCTCTTTCACTGACTCCTACTCTCACCACTAAGTGTGTTATAAATTTTCTCTACACCTACCTTAAGGGCACATGATTTGTTCCTCATATGGTCTGAGACTGTGTCCCAACACTGAGAACAGATTCCAGGACTGAGCCCTGCCTTGTCCTGCCACAAATTTAATTAACTTGACTGCTAGAGAGCATAATGCTAATAGGCGACTTTTATACAAATCTAGTAAATAAAATTTATAAATAAATAGCATTTGACCTGGCACAAGGTTCCCTGTAGCCCCTGATTAATATCATGCTGTTCTAATATTGCTGAATGCTCCAAATAATCAAGTCTATAAAAATATATTCCTACTATGTAGCTCTGATTGAGTGCCCTTTGTGCAGGCTAAGGCATTTATATTTCATTGGTGAATGTTAGTATAAATTTGATCAAGAAGCTATTTTAGAACTTTAAATTCCCATTATTTCATTACAGTTTCCACTTACAATCAGGCAGCAGAATCAGAACTTGATACTGCCATTTGTTATAGAGAGCAAACCACCTTGGGCTGCTGGATGTGATAAATCCCAGTCTCATTCCCAGCCTCAAAAGGGAGTCCAGGTCTTTCCCCTCGTCTAAGCTCCAAGCTAGTGAGGAAGGCTGGGAGTGGTTTGGCTGCCGTGGTGCTGCAGATGTAACAGGAGGGCCTGGGCCAAGTTGCAGTGGAGCAGGAAAGGGAGACGGAGAACCAGAGTGCTGCAGCCTCGCAGGAGCAAACCAGGCAAGCTCCAGGCCTCCCTTTCCTGGGCAAAAGGGAAATGTAACAGCAACACTAAGAAAGCCCTGCATGCTTTTGAGTCACTTCATGACTCAATCATTCTTATCACAGCAATGTAAGGTACGCCAGTATTTCTATCCCAAGGTCTACTGCAGAATGAGGTGGGGGAAAAAGCTCAGCAACAATGTATGGTTTTGTCTAAGGCCAATCTGTGAGTTCACAGCTGAGCTGAGATTTAGACTAGGAAATCTCCAGACCCTGGTCTTGCATTCATGACTGCTGTGCTATACCAGCCCTATAAGTTATACATTAAAACAAACAAACAAACAAACGGAGTGAGAATCTCACAGAGTAAATACTGGATACAAATGAAAATACACGTTGTAAGGAGTGACTGGAAAGGATAAGGGAATACACCTTAATAGGAGACTATGTTCATGGTAAACCGACAAAGAATGCCCATATCTTCTTGTGCCCCCATGATCCCACAACCAGGGCAGGAAGATGCAGCTCTGTAATCTACACCTTTATAAATTACAGTATTTGTTGGGCTTCAATGAACCATCGATCTCTGCCTCTGTAGTCAGAGCAATGGTCGACCTTGACAAATGGTGTCTATTAGCATAAACTGATTTTCAGACCCAGCTATGCTATGTAAGACTTCTCAACCAGAAACGCTTGGGATTGAGCCCTATCCCATATCCAGGCTGAGTGTAATGAGCCACTACATAAGGGCTGCCAGACTGACTAGGCACAGCTTCTGCTGGATGCTGAAGAAAAAACCCGCAGAATTCTACCACACACACTAACAGTCTCAAGGACTCGATGTGATTTTAAAATCCCCAATTCAAGTAAAGGCATCTGCTTCTAAGCTTAGGGCAGATACCAGGATTACTAGGAAAAAGCCCAGAAGCTAAAGAAGAGTTCATCATAAAGGCAAATATACCTGCTCCCTTCCTCTCTTTTCCCCCACTCATTATACCAAAAAATGGAAGAGGAAAGAGAGCACATGATTTCAAGCATATGTTTCAGAGCTCTGTTTGCATGCAGGACTGGAGAGCCTGAAAAGTAGAACAGCAGATGGGACACAACTGCCAGAGGAATTAGCAATGAAGAATAAAGCATGGCCTGTTACCAAGGGCCTCATGGCCTACCTATATTCAAAAGAGCACACCTCGGGTGTCCTAACACTCTCCTTTCACAGACAGTTTCTCTGCATGGCATAATGTACATACAGATTTGGGTTCATCGCCATGTCAGGAGGCGGCTGTCCTCCCACTTGCCAGCACCAGAGCTTCCCTTGCTTCAGATATGCATGCAAGAGGGGGAATGTTTATGCCCCATATTCTGTATCTGAGATCCTGATTGTTTGAATACATAGACCAGTAAGACATCAGGGAATTAATCCCTTCTTGCTCTCAAATGAACATGCCTTTCTTCCATCCCACTAATATGTTCTATGTGAAATGAGCCAAAGACTTGACCCAGAGCCCCACACACCAACGCCTTTTACAAGAATAGCTACTTCACTACTGCCAACTGTTCCTGTTAAAGAGCTATCTCAGTCAAGACTTAGAAGACTAGCTAAGGTCACATGCTAAACTCTCCTATTTCTCCCAGTGTGCCATGTGCATTTGCTTGGCCCGGCAAATGCATCACCATCATCTAGTGGCCCAGCCCTTCTATGGAAGCCCTCTGGGCAGCTGCATTGTGACCCCTCCTTCCCTCCAGGCCAGAGCATCAATGGCAGGACGGAGGCCAGGGATTGTTTGGTTGATGCATTACCGAGTTACCCAGAATGTTCTAGCTGCACAGGGAAAAGCCAAGAAACTTCCCAAACTCCTTTTCCTGCAGAAAAAGGTGAGAAGGGGTATCCTGGTCCCATCAAGTGGGCCTGGGATCCACAATTTGTGTTTGGCTGGTTGCCAAAGTGCATCGGTAAAAGTTATGCCTAGAAATGCTTCTTCAAGAACAACCAAAGCTGAATTCTGCCCCATGGATGGCTGGAATGCAATCACAAGAGGCCTAAGCAATGCAAGATCCATCACGTCCAATGCAATCTCAGTGGCAGTGGCTGTCCCTGCCCCGACACAGGGAATAAAAACAGAAGGGACATCAAAGCCTCTGTCAGGCCATGGCATACAAATGACAGGCTGCACAAGGCTTTGTGAACAGGCTGAGTTATGTAGGCCTGCTCCAGGATCAGCATCCTGATAGGATTTTTAAAATGAGGAACAGAACTAGATCCTTGATGCAACAGAACCAAATTAAGAGAAGAGTTCCCCAAGAATGATTCAAACACAAACTGAGGACTGAAAAGGAAAAGAAAGTATAGATGTTGGGTAGCAGATTAAGCAAGAGATCACCTGTAAGCATTTACATACACAAGCATCTACCCTCCAGTTGAAGGGCATCCCCATAAACTTACCTGCTATGATGAAAGGATTTCAGCTTTGGCTGCAGCAAAACAAACAGTACAACTAGGAGAAGGATGAGAGCTACAGAACTTGCCGTGGAAGCCACAATGGAGAGGGTGGGTACTCCTGCACTTGGAGGAGAACCTTTATCTGCAAAGCCAAAGCAGAAGATTTTTATTTTTCCCCCCTCAGGAAGCAGCTGCTTCCCATCACCAAGCCAGACTCCTCCTCAACACACTAGGCTGGAAAAGCAAGCAGAATTACTAGAATGCGCCTTCCTTCAAATGGCCAACTTTGTTCTCAGGGCCAGATGGAACTGTCCTGGGGTGAAGGCTGCTGCAAACACACAGAAACAGATGGGACAGGGCTAACCTTAGTCATCATGGAACACTCAGTCCAGCATGATTCCCAGACATCCTTTGCTGCCATCTGCCCCACCAGGATCCTTTGTCCGCACTGAACAATTTGGTCATATGAATGCAAATAAAACCCACATTTATTCATGAATAAACATGTTTCATTTTTTAAAAAATACCACAGAACCAGGCGTTGAATTTTCACTATGTCTATGCTTGTCTGATTGAGTCACCATCTCATGGAGCATACTGGCAAAATGTTTGGGAAAAGTTGTAAGAGACGGCAAAAGTCAAGTCAGAGCCTAAAAATGGAAAGACTGCTGCATTTCCTATTTGGTTAACCCCTTTTTCTTTCATGAGAAAAATGGCACAATCGTCCTCCCCCACCCCAACATCTTTTAAAATTTATCTGTTAGTTTCACCACAACATCCAGCTTTTAGGGAATTTGTTTTATTTCAACAAATTTCTATTCAATTATACACACTCCTCCCTTTGTTCCAATATCTTATGATCAACTAGAGCTACAAGAAAAATATTTTCCTATGGACTTCTTGACTTTTTATCATTGGGAAAAGAATTTTTATCCAATTGATGGAAAACCCTGCAACTGTCAAGTTCCTTTTGGGAAAGCTCTTTTGAAGTCAGGCTTGGCTAGGCAAAGAACGCTTTGTGCTGGATCACAGTAAAATCAAGATGCATCAAAACTCCACTTCCATCACCATACTCTTAAAACTCAGTGTCTGTGCACTATAGATCTAGGGGAAACATATTTTAGACTCCAAAGAGCTATACCATTAATTTAGTTAAAAACAAAAAGGGAAAGGGAAAGAAGTCAAGAGAAATATTCTCAGTTACCCAACACCCCTGTTTACTAATTTTAACTGGTTTAAGTGTCATTACCACTACAGAAGGAACATCAGGAATTGTGTGAGTGTGTGCATTCCTGTTGTGTCTGAATGTACACATGAAGATTAAAAGAATTTTCTGCATTTCACCAAGATGCAGGGTTCTATGGTGAAAGCCATGAGAGTTAAACTGGTCTGGAACAGATACATATTTATTGTGAAGACATGCATTTAGAGAAGGTTAACACATTTACTGAACTCTAACCACATACCAGCACACATACTAGTACATGAAAAGCACTGGACAAGGCTAACAGCAAGGAAAACAAAAATGAGCATATTTCCTCTGAGGCATAACTGACCTTGACTGAGCCTACAGGTAACCTCCATGTCTGGATTCCACTTTCCATTCTTGCAAGTCAAATACTTATAGTCTCCTTTCAGCAGGTAGCCTTCCTCACATAAATACTCTATGACACTGTCAGATGTCAGTGGGTCTTTGCAGGGCGCTGGATGGCATCGGTAGCCTCCATTCGCAGGCTCTGGTGGCTGTGGACAGACTGGAAAGCAGGAAAAAAAAACCCAGATCCTATGATATAAACTTTGCATTGGAGAAAAGCATGACATAAGTTTGAAAGCAAACATTGAACAAATTAGGCACCTTCTACTAGCTTATAAGAAATAAGTATTATTGAGACATCTCATAAACCAGGTACAAAGTTCTGCTACATTTAAAAAGCTAGTGCAAAAAGAAAAAAGAGTAAGACACTTTGTGTACTCCCATTAAACAAGGCTGAAGAGAGAGTCACGGGTCACGGTTAGTGGGCTAGTGCCTCATACATTCGCCTGCCCAAACACCAACCCCCAACCCATCTCTTACTCCCAGGGTGACAATGGAGGAAACATCCTTAACCTCCTCCTGCCGACAACTCAGTCTGCTCCTGAGCACCTCCCCAATAATTTCAACTCACTGTAATTCCACGAGATTTACAATTTCCCCAGTGTGTTCCAATCACAACATCACCATTTTCAAAAGAGTGAGAAAGCAGAGGGCAAGAGAAGTTTGTGGCAACTGTCAAGAGGTGATTGGATGACATGTCAAGAAAAAGGAGGGCAAGATATAGCACAAAAAATCTAGCCTACATACACAGCCCAACTGGCCACTGATACACTGAGTGATTAACCAATTTTATATGCTGCCATTCAAAGTACAAAGCTACTAAGTCACCAGGCATCCAAGAATGCAAGAAGCAATGATCACAATTCATTCACCTATGCATCACCTCATTTCCTCACTGAAGAGAACAGAGACAGTTCTATTAGAGCCCGATCAGGACAGTGTTTTATGGATAGAGATATAAACAATTAACCAACCAAGAATGACTGAGACTATTCATAAATCTAGCCACTGCTGTTTGCCAGCAGTAAGTGGAAAGGATGAACTTGACAAGGGTATTAACAAGAGGGGAATATTCCTCTGTGGGCAGGCAGACTTGTAATTGTCAGCATTTAATCAAGCTTGCCTGTGTGTGTGTGTGTGGGGGGGGGCATTCGCACAATTTTCAAGATCCCTATCCTGCAAAATAGAGCAAATCACAATGTGTGCAAATGGTGTAATCTAAAAACAAACACTCCCTCCCCCATTTTTTTCTAGAATTAGAAAAAATACCCACCAGAGTCTACCACCTTTTCCTGGAACAGAAATGCATTGGAATTCTCTTAGGCTTAAATATAATGGAATTCCCAGCATTATATATCCCTAATAATGTTAGTATATCGCAGCACAAAACCACAAAGTGCACTGCTGAACTTTAAAGACTAACAGTTTTATTGTGGCATAAGCTTCTAGGGTTCAGCTTGTCTCACCAAAACTCTTCAAGAGTTGTCTTGAGCTGCAGTTAAACATAATACATACCAACCTGCAACATATATCTGTATGAAATGTCATCCAGAAAAGCTAATGGAATAATAAATTAGACTTCAACGTGCCACAAGATTCTTTGTTGACACTGCTACCATTTTGCTATATATCAGTAAGTCCTCACTTCATTTTCCATGGCATGAAGGAATTCAGGTTGAACATCCTGAACCTTAAACAACATCCAAACATCATATTCTGTGTGACCCTCCTCCCTCAAATCATCTTCTCTGTAGAAGATCAGGTGTCTGCAGCATGCTAGCAGATGGCTTGTGATTTCCCAGAGGGGCTAGTTCTAGAAGGAACATCTGCCTAGACTTGTCACTTCTAGTTGGAGTTGAAACAGCTCGGACTACTCTGCAGATGAGTTCAAAGATGCATTTATCTACATGCAATTACAACTTCTCTGGACCCTATGAATTTTTTAATATAAAAAACAATTTAATCCATGTTGCATCTTTAAAGAAGTGTTCTATTTCAAATGATTTTTTCCCTCACAGATTCACAATAAAGAAATAAGCATTTGTTGTTCCATTTAGCTTTCCTTTATATTAACTTATTATTGAGAAATTACTGTTTCCCTGATTTTTGAAGAGACTCGGCTTTTTAGAAAATGAAGTGGATAAATGAGATCACACTCAAGAAAAAGCATTTGTCTATGTAATCATAGCTACCCATTTATATAATTAGATGCAAGCACTTACATAGTGTAAAATATGCTTAGTTATTTCAGACTTTCCAAAAGCCTTTTAAATAAGAGATACCAAAATGGGGAATAAAGACTAATTACAGTCTTGCACCAATGCAGTCACCAGCTGGTGATTCACAAGCAGCACAGCGCTGAATTATCTTAATCAACACGCAGCAGCACTGGAAATATCACGTGCTTATTAACCCTCTGTTATGATCAACAAACCATGGCAGAAGTTTTCCAGTACCACCATAATTAGGAATATTCAATAGTTTTCTATGAAAAAATGTTTTGTTGCATATTCTAACTTTACTGATAAAACTGCTCCTTCAGGAGATAAGGGAAACCAAATTGCTTTGATTTTTCAAGAAGCCAAAGAGAATTGCTTCAAATCTTTTTTATAAAGCCATTTAAAATGTCATAACTTAAATAAAAGTCCATGAGTGTAAAATGTAGTAACTATTTGTGTCCCATAAGCCCACCTGGAGGGAGTGGAGAAACAGATGAGTATCCCTCACAGAGCCTGCAAATATTCCTCCGTATGAAGACAAAACTGTTTTAACTGTATTACATACCTGTGGAAGTAATACTTAATTTTAAAAAGGGAAACCTAAACTAAACCCCCAAAATATAGTGCTTCCTTCTGTTGACAGTCCTTCAAAAACCCAATAATACCAAACCTTTCCAGACATTTCACAGGGGAAACGATACAGCTTTGTTTTCAGGACACTTCATATATCTATCCTACATTGCAACTTTATTTTATTTCTAGCAAAACAAAAAGAGACTTTTTATGGGGAAGATAACATATGTGCAGGATTAGTATTGGTATAGTATTCTAAAACAAATGCAAACCAGTTCTCAGTTAAAATGGAAAACAAACCCCCCCCTTTTCCTGGTTTTGCTTTCTTTCAACTTAACACAATAAAATTCAATATATTTGCATGTTGCTATTGACATGCAAATTACACCACTGGGATCTGCTGGTTTTTCAAGTACTTTTGCCATAATTTATCAATAGCCCTGGACCCTTAAAAGTTTACATACCTAGAAGTCAAACAGAAGCAGAAAAGCCACTAACACAATTACAGTTATAGTTGTAAAAAGCTAAAATGCTGATGGGGCAGGAAAGGTACACACAACTGAAACTCTCAAGTTAAGAGGGATGCTATTCTTCAGTTTAAAAACAGGTTATCTCTTTGGCAATCAGAAACAGCACAATTAAAAATTTCAGAAAACATATTGTACTGTGCGAATATGATTAATATCAAGGCAACATATGAAATATTACAGAAAGCATAACCAAAAATTATAGACCTCCACAAATTCGAGTGCTACAGAAAGATAGCTCTGTATTAGCAATGCTGAGTCATTTTGAATATATACCTCTGGAACAATTACATGTGAATCATTAGGATGGGTTTTTTGGACAGATGGTATTGTGTAGCAAAACAAAATGCTAGTGAGGAGACTCATTTTGTCTGTGTAAATAAGAAAAAAATGCCCATGAGGCCACAGCTCTTGGCAACAAGACAGAGCAAAACTGTAACCTTAACCAAGTATTCATTCCTCTGTAAGGATATAAATACGATGATCTGCTTCAAACTGAAGGAATCCCTCAAATAAACCTTTGGTTCTTCTGTGCCATGTATTGAGGAAGCTGCCTAATCCCCAGTAAGACTCTAGGCCATCTTGCCCAGTATAGTTGACACTGACTGGCAGCAGCTCTCTAGAATTTCAGCTCTGCAGTTTTTTTCCTGTCCTACCTGGAGATGCTGGAGGCTGAACATGGAGTTTTCTACATGCAAACAGGTGCTCCACCACTGATCTATGGGTCCATCACCACCACCACCACCACCACCACCACCACCACCATCATCATCTAGCATTTGCTTGCTGCCTTTCTTCCTCTTGTAAGGAAGCCAAGGAGGCTTACAAGGTTCTCCTCCATGTTATCTTCACCACAACACCCCTGTGAGGTAGGGTAGGCAGAGACGCAGTACTCCTAACTGGCCCAAAGACACCTTGTGGACTTCATGGCTAGTGGGGACTAGAACCCAGGTCTCCTGCAACTCAGTCCAGCACACTTAACCACTGAACCACACTGACTATCATTTAAAGGCTTGACTGTCTTTGTTTTCATGAAGCTTTAACCTTTAGAGGACCAATTCTTTTCTGGAGAATCCCTTGGGGGATACATTCCTGTGGTGACCAGGAATCAAGGCAAAAAATGATGCACAGGGCTGAAAACACAAGGGCCAAAATACAAAAATCCCAGCATAATTTAGCTGAAAGCCCTTAGTGCTAGTAATTAAACCTTAGAAGATGTCTTTCAACTGTTAGGTTGGGTGGGGGAGGGAGAGATGTGCACAAAAGCCAGGAAACTGGAAAACAGTCCATGGTTGGGGAAAGAGGGTGCAGCCAGGAGATACAGATGTGACCACTTGAAAAATTTTGGAGGGTCAGACTAGGATCCCAGGTGGGCAGGACTTGGCCTCCAGGTCTGAGCTTCTGCACCCCTGATGTAGGTTCTATGGATAGTCCCTTACCACGAAGAGAGCCAGTGTGGTGTAGTGGTTAAGAACATGGGACTGGGATCAGACAATCTGGGTTCTAGTCCCCGCTCAGCCATGGAGCCAACTGGGTGACTTTGGGCCAGTCACAGACTCTCAGCCCAACCTACCTCACAGGGTTGTTGTGAGGTTAAGATGGAGGAGGAGAATGATGTAAGCTGCCTTGAGCCCTTTGAGGAAAAAGGCAGGATATAAATTGATAAATAAATAAATAAATAAATGGGTAATTTCCAATCAGGTAGAAGCTGTAATGTAAATGAGACTTCACTCTTTTAAGGGAACCTGGGAAATCCCATTATGCCAGTTAACACTATTAGCGTTTTGCTAGTGATTCCTTACATTAATGCTAATACACAGCTGGTTAAAGGTAAAGGTTTC